GAACTGTCCACTTAAAAATGGTGGAGACGGTAAACTTTATGTCATGTGTATTTCACGACAATTAACAAATATAGGGGGCTGGTGCTGCCTGTCTCCTGGGGTCGCTGTGCCGCATCCGTGAGCTCATATACGAGGAGTCCCCCTCACGGTGCCTGGCACGCGGCAGCTGCTCAGTCACTCACAACTTGATGCTACTGAAGATGAAGTTGCCTGATGTCCCTGAGTCTGGCTCCCCTTGACTGAAAATCTGTCCAATAAGTACTTGACGAGCCCCTACTGTATGACACCAGGTTCATAAACAGCAGCCCCCTTTTCCTTCCCGGAGAGTGCAGTGAGTAAAAGACATTTGTCTGCACAAGAAAAACTGTGTCCTGCTGAGGAGAAGGGAATGATGGATGGAGGGGTTCTGAGAACTCCTGTGAGGGATAAGCTTCCCCCAAAGGTCTGGAAACAAGGCAGGGGCCTGGGTGCATTCCACACCCACTAAGAATGCCCTGCACTTGCGAGCTGGCTCTGTGCTTCTTAGAAGCTGCCCCTTCCTCTGCCTCATTACCTCATGGCCCAGTCACCATCCTCCTCCTCCTCCTCTTCACCACCATCACCATCACCACTACCACCACCATCAGCATTGTCAACATCATCACCATCATCATCACTGCCATCATCATCATCATCATTGTCACCATCATCATCATCACCGTCACCACTACCACCACCATCAGCATCTCCTTCAACATCATCATCCTTTCACCACCATCATCATCACTGCCATCATCATCATTGTCACCATCATCATCATCACCGTCACCACTACCACCACCATCAGCATTGTCAACATCATCATCCTATCACCATCACTGCCATCATCATCATCATCATTGTCACCATCATCATCATCACCATCACCACTACCACCACCATCAGCATTTCCGTCAACATCATCATCATATCATCACCATCATCACTGTCACTATCATCACCATCACCGTCATTATCACCATCATCATCATCACCATTGTGAAAAGCCTGGAGGCAAAGGAAAAGCTGGCACATCTTAGAACACAAGTCCTTTTAAGAGAGGGAGACAGGCAGAGTTGAAGCTGGGGCAGGGAGACCAGACCATGAAGATCCCAGAACATCAGACTGAAGAGTTCAGCCTTTATCCAGAAGCAATGGGAGCCCTGGAAGAGTTCTTGGCAGGAGAGCGCACAGGCAGAATTGTGTTTAGGCAGAGCATTGAGGGGTCCCCAAAGGGAGGGAGAAAGGGGGGGGGGAGGGAGTCTCCCAGAGAGGACAGATCCATCAACCACCAATCAGGGGCCCGGTCCTGGGCTCCTGCGGAGCAGGCAGGAGGGGGAATGGCGGACCTGTGGACAGAGGCCAAGCAGGACAGGGGAAGTCCTTCCTCTGCCAGTTCTTCCCCGTCTCTCGGCTCCCCCAGCCTGTCTCAGCTAACGGGGCAGCCTCCCTGACCCCCCCCCCCCAGGAGGGCTGCCCACTTCCTCCTCCTCTCACAAGGCCGAGCCCAGCCGACCACAGATGTGACAAGTCAACTTCAGAATTCAATGAGACGAGCCAGATGGAGGTGCCAGGCCATGCCCAGCCACAGCAGCTTCTGTCCTTTGAGGAACCGGAGATGTCCTCTGAGCTCCTACAGTCTTGGGTTCAAATTCTGCCTTAGTCCAGGAGACCACTATCTCTCACCTGGACCAGAGAGGCAGCCTCCTCACTGAGCTGGCTGCCCCAGAGCCTTCCTTCTCCTCCAGGATGTCAGCCTGACGACTTTCGGAACTGAAAGCTGATTGTGTCCCCCTTGGGCCCCTCAACTAGAGGGTAAGCTCCAGCTGCCTTGGACTGCAGCCCTGGCCCCACGGAGCTGAGTCCACTCCCTCCCGTCGACCCTCCCCACCTTCCAGCGGCCGCGCGGACCCACTTATCTTGCTCTTTCACCTCATTTCTTGGATCATACTGTTCCTTCCACCTGCAGTGTCTTTCCCCTTCTCTGCCTAGTGAGCTTCTACTTAAGCCACAAAGCCCAGCTCATCTTCTCTCTGAAGCCCACTCCCTCCCCATCAGGCAGAAAGTTGTCTTCTCCGCAAGAACCCCAGCCCCTCGAAGACAGGGACGGCTTAATTCACTTGGGTATTGGCTCCCCTCACCCCCGTATCTTAACTGGCTAATTCCATCCCTTTTCTTTATAGCTCTTTCCATCCAGAAAATTCCCACTTGTCAGGCACTGAGTGGCAGGGGAGGACCTTGAGGGAGCATGGGCACCAGCATCCGCTGAGGGCTCTGGTGGCCCAGGCCAATGAGGCAGGTGGGGGCCGGGGCCTCCCTGGTTGACCACACACTTTCCCCCCGGCCCTCGGTGCGTCGCTCCAACACCCCCACCAGTGCACGCACACCTGCACACGCATACAGAACCCGCCCACTGCCACAAACACAGATCCTGAGAGCAATGTCTTCCAGCGGGCTCTGTGCCTGGCGTGATGCCAAGTCCCCCCCAACGGGACCCCACTGCCTCCTCCCCCTGGGCCATGCAAGGTTCGGGGAGGCGGGACCTCCCTCTGCCCAGGTCACAGAAATGGGGCCTAAGGGAGAAGGGATTCGGATCTGGGCCTGGTAGACACAAACGTGTCGTCTCCGTCCCACCACACTGCTCCCCAGCACATGAACACACGAATCTGTCAGCAGTTACTCATTAATATCCAGCAAAACTCCCTCTCCCCTCTCACTCCCTCCTCCCCCACTGCCACCCCGTCATCACTCTGCCCACCACCCAGAGCCACCTCGGTCAAGGGGGAGGGCAGGAAGGACACTCCCCTCCTCACCCCTACTGTGCCCTTGCCATCCCCCAGGGTCCAGCCTCCTCACTGGGAGGAGGATGACGATGGCGGAGGTGACGTGGGTGGCTTGGGCCCCCGAGGACCTCTTCTCCCGGTGACCTCTGCTCGGAGCACAGCACAGACAGAAGCAAGTTGACTGTAAACCACTCAGTCAATGACTACAAACCAGCCCAGACCGCCCCAGCCCCAAACCACTGACAGCCTGGGGCGGCCGCAGAGGGGGCAGGGCTGGGAAAGCCAGCCCAGAGCCCCAGGAGCCTCGCCTCCTCCCCTGAACCCTCGAGGAGAGCCACCCAGGAGGAAGGCGGGGAGGGGGCTGTGGGGGGTGGGAGGTGCCTGGGCCTGGAGCCGCAGACGTCAGGACCAGCAGGGTCCTGAGATGCACCCCTTCCCCTCCATCTTCCTGAATCACACAGTGGACAAATGAGGAAACTGAGGCTCAGAGAGGAAGGGGCCTGACCAAAGTCTCTCAGGCAATTGGAGACAGAGCCCAAGTTGGGATCCATGCTTCCCTCCTGGTCTCCCTGGGTCTCTCTGACCAGCAGTGTGACCTTAGAAAAGTCACTCAACCTCTCTGGGCCCTGAAGGATTACAGTTCCTCACACGCCCATTCCACAAGGTTGTTGGGAGGATAAAGGGTAAGATTGGCAGCCTTTCACCTAAATACAACACTTTGCAGTTTACAAAAGCTTCCTACATCCCATCTCTTCTGTGTTCTTCATAATAACTCTGTGAGACTGGGAGAAATAGGGGCTTTGGTCCCATTCCGCAGATGAAGGGAACTGCTCAGAAAGATAAAGGTCACACAGAGAGTTTGGGACAGAGCAGGAACTAGAATTCAGGACTCCCAAACCAGTGCTCTTCCCATCACCAAGTTACTCATAAGGCTCAGAGTACCTTGAAACTCCCAAGGACCAAGCACTGCCCAACCCACGCTGCCAGTTGCCTGGCCCCACCCAGAACTCAGCATCTCTGGGACGCAGGGTGCCCTCCCGAGGCAGAGGGCTGTGTTTTAAGTTCACACGGCTGAGCTGCCATCCCAGCCCTGACACCCTTCTGAGCTGCGGGGCTCCCCTCTGTAAAGTGGAGCTACGGAGGTCCCAAGCAGCTTGCGACGAGGACTGACTGCACCAGGACGCAGGCGTGCCCGGCAGGCGGTAAGCACTTGCTCACTTTGCTCTCAAGCACGTGGCTCGTGTGTTGGTTTCGCGGTGCCTAGTTGGTGGTGCCTAGTTCAGGGCTCCGGATCCAGGGGGCATCTGATCAGTCCTTATGATAAGATGGATGGACAGACAGATGGATGATGGACAGACAGATGGATGATGGACAGACAGATGGATGGATGGATAGATGCTCAGGAGAGCAGAAAGAAGAAAAGATGGGGCAACAAGGGGAGGATGGAAAGATGATTAGAGGAAGGGGCACAGCGTGTACATGGAACTGACACACAGCCCAGGCCCTCCTGGCCCCTGGCCCCAGCCAACCTACCGCCACCGCCTACCTTGGGGTAGCACTGGCACATGCTCCAGATGACGCCCCCTATCACCATGATGCTGCCCATGGCGTAGAAGGTGCCGTAGACCTGGGGCCGGTCGTGGCTCATGAGGAACGTGCCGAGGGCCAGCAGGAAGAGCCCCAGCACGATGAAGCCGATGCGGAAGGTCTTCTCGTCAGCCATGGCTGCCTGGCCAGGCCCGGCCCGTGCACCGCTGGAGGGGCCTCGGTGGACCGGCGTGGACACCTGCACTGCTCACACAGGGAGGGATGGCGCTCCGGGATCACTGCAAATCGGGGCTTGGAGTTAAGGGAGGGCAGGCTCCCTCGGGCCCGGCGGCAGTCCCTGGGCACCGGTTCACCGGGCTGGAGGAGCCACACTTCAATGGCCCTGCCCCCACCCACCCACCTTCTCTCCCTCTCACCTTCCCTCTGGGCATGGAGTGCGTGTGTGAACCTGAGTGAGGGAGGACGGGGAGGGAAAGGGGGAGGTCCCGGGGCTGGGCCCCAGCCAAGCTCTGACATCGCCTCATTTGCCTGTGTGGGGCCGAGCTGTGTGGACAGGTGGCCCCACACAGTCCAGCCACAGGAAGCAGGGTACAGTGCTGCTGCCAAAAGACGTCAGAACGCTGCTGGAGGGCTCCAGGACCCCACAACTGGCATGTCCGGCTCCCGGAGAATTCTAGACACTTCAAGGTCATGCGCCCGTCCCAGCTTCAGGAATCAGAGCCCACATTCACTAGATGGTGACTGCACATGGGGCGCTGCTCTAAACATGTCACAGGTATTAACTCATTTAAGGGCAAGCCCACAAGGCGGGGACTGCTGTCCCCACTTCACAAATGGGGACACAGACAAGTAAACCGCCCAAGGTCACGCAGCTAGAAACAGCAGAGCAGCTGGAATTCAACCCAGAGGCTAGGGCACCGAGCCAGCATGGGACACCGCCTGATGGCAGCACCAGGGTGAACGTGCGGGCCCTCGAGGCCTGGCAGACTGCAGGACTTGGGTGCTGGCTGCTCCACTGTGCGGCAGTGTAGTGTTGATCAAGTTACTGCCCTCTGCCTCAGTTTCCCTCCTCTGTACAATAGGATAATAGTCCCTCGCAGGACCAGAGCTGTCTTCCACGGTCTCCCTGGGTTCCTCTGTCCCCTTCTCCTGCTCTGCGCTCCACCCAGACCTGCTCGCCCAGCGCTGCCCTCTGCAAAGGCTCGGGTGTGCTAACACCCCCGCAGGACAGAAAAGACTGACAGCCATTCCCTGCCTCCTAACCCAGGAAGATGCTTGAGTCCTGAGAATGACATTCTGCTGGTGGAATTTCAGGCCCGGGGACAGTCTGATGGGAAAAGTCAGATTCCCTTAGAGGACTATGGGACGATGATGGCCGCCACTGTCTCTAAAAGAAGACGTTAACGTGTGGTTTGTACAGGGTTGGCTGCTGATGGGGGACCACGGGCTTTCATCCGGCAACCGGACTTAGTCGGTTTGGGGATTTTCCTGTTTGTTGTGTCACTGTCCCCTTCTCCCCAGCACCAGCTGGGCTTGTTCCAGACCGCACAGCCGTGCTCGGCCACACCCTCTGCCTGGTGCTCCTGCCACAAACACTTCTTCCAGCAGCGGTTCCTGCTTCCTCAGCCCTCAGATCCAGGCGGGATGCCTGCTGCAGCTGGCGGAAGGCGTCCCCTGGAACAGAGCTCAGGCGACCCTCAGTGAGAGGTCGCTGAGGGGTCAGAGGAGGGCTGGGAGTCACCCATCACATCTAGGCCTGCTACCCTGGTGAACCTGGGCTGGTGGCTCCTCCCTGGGCTTGAGTCGAATCCCCTGTGAATTGACGGTGGAAGGAGGCCACTTCCAAGGTCTCGTGCAGGGAAGGGACCTAATAGAGGAGAAAACGCTTGGTAATCTGTGATTATCAACAGGGCGGGACCCTCCAGGGAAACCCTATTATCATCACCATATGGAGGCTCAGAAAGGAAAGCGACGAATGCCCCGCCCAGAAAAGGAGACCGAGGCCCAGAGAGGCCCCAGGCAGCCCTCTGGTCCGGCTGTCCGGGCGGGGTAGGAACGGCTCTCCGCGGCCCGTGCCCCCGCGCCCTGGGGGCCGTCGCAGCACAGTCTCCGTAGGGCGGTCCCACGCCATGTCGCGACGCGCCCGGCGCGAGGCGCGGGGAGGGGCTCTCACGCCCGGTCCCAGGCGAGGGAACGGAGCCGGAGCGGCGGGGACGGCCCAGATCGCCCCCAACCGTCGGCGGCTGAGCAGGGCGCGGACCACGCAGCCCCAGCCCCGCGCTGGAGGGATCTGGTCCCTCTCCGTGCCGAGGGCTCGGGTCACCTGGGCGCGCTGCCCCCCGCCCCGCCCCCGTCCCCCTCTCCTCTCTCCTCCCGGTGAAAAGGGGCGGGGGAGCGACCAGGAGTTGGACGCTCTGGGCCAGGGGCGCCCGGTGACGGGCCTCCTCCGAGCTCCTCCGCAGAGGCGCGGGGCCCCGGGGCAGACGTCCTGCGCTGGGCCGCGTCGGGGTGTCCGCAGGCCCCCCACCCTGCCCGCGGGGTCTGGGCGATCGATCGGCGGAGGGGCGGGGCGCGCGGCCGTCTCCCGGCAGAGGGCGCGCCAGGCTCTGTCTTCGTCCGGTCGGAACAACGCGGGAGCCCGGAGAGACCTCCGAGACTGCAGCGGAAGGGTCACCCGCTCGACAGAGGCGGAGGCCGAGGCTGGGGAGGCGGGTGAGCGGCTCGGGATCGCAGAGGCGGCAAACAGCACAGCCAGGACTCACGCCGGTCCCGAGTCAGGCTCTTGTTGAGCAGCTGTTTGCAGGACATGCTAAACGCCGAGTGTCAGAGAGCGTGGCACATCGCCCGCCCTTCTGGGGCATGATATGGTAAAGGCTCTGAGGTGTGTGTGAGGCCCAGCATGTGCACAAAGCAGAGAGCTGGACAGACTGGCCGGGCGCGGGTCGGGGGAGGAACAAAGGGACAGGTTCACAGAAGGGACCCTTGAGAAGTCAGTTGGAGTTCTTCTGTCAGGGCAGGAAAAGCAGTTCAGACAAAGAGACCAGCGTGTGCAAAGGCCCAGGGGCACATAAGCACTGACACATGGCTGGAGATAAAACTCCAAGTGCTATGTGCACACTGGCCCATACACTGCAGATCCTCCTGTCTTGCCAGAGCTGTTCCTCCTGTGTCAGCTCCATCCTCCCAGTGTTACCCAGGCCGCCACCTGGATCTCCTGGCCAGCGTCCTCGCCTCCTCTCTCACAGCCACATCCTGCTGACTCCACCTCCAACATGTAAGAATCCCGTCACTTCTCACCCCCACCACTGCTCATCACTGGTCTGAGTCCCCATCATCTGTCTCCCTAAGTGGCCTCTGCTTCTACTCTTGCCCCCTGGAGTCTCTTTTCAACCCAAATGCCAGGTCAGACCATGTCACCCCTCTGCTCAGAACCCTGGAATGGCTCTGTCTCATCAGAGCAGAAGCCAACGACCTCGAGATGGCCTACAAGGCCCTAGATAATTTGCCCATGCCACCCACCCCCTCACCCTTCTGAGCCCACCTCCTGCCATGCCTCCCCTCACTCACTCTCTTCCAGCCACCCTGGCTCCATGCTCTTCTTAGAACACACAGGCACCCCAGGGCCTTGCACCTGCTGTTCCTGCTTCCTGGAATGCTCTTCCTCCAAATATCTGCATGGCTCCCTCCCTTACTTCCTTCAAGTCTTTGTCCAGATGTCAGCTTCACAGCGAGGCCTCCCCTGACGTGACATCTAAAGTTGCAGAGCCCCCTTCCCCCAGGTGTTCCTTGTCCTCATTTCCCAATTCATTTCTCTCAATCGTTCTCGTCACCATCTACCCTACCACCTACATTATTTATCCACCCTGTCTATGGCCGTCTCCGCACTGGAACTCAGCGCCACAGCGGGGATGGTTCGGTTCGCTGTGGTATCCCCAGGGGCTGGAAGTGGGGAGGTGGGCTCTCGAGTCACATGTGGGAACGGAGGGATGGATACAAGTTCTGGGGGGAGGGGAGCATGGGCCGGAGACCTCCTGGGCTCACGCACAGCAGTCCGACAGCTTTCAGGGGCTGACGGGGCCCCTAGGGGTGACTAGCGGAGGAGTGACCAGATCAGATCTTAACTGTCCCATGACCCTCTGGTTCTGAGAGCAAGCTGGAAGGTGCCAGAGGAGACGGGGGAAGCCAGGAGCAGCTGCCAGGCTCCCGGGACACCTAGGGAGAGAAAGACTGAAGTGACAATTTTTAGGAGTCATTAGTTGCTGGGGGGGAGCTGTGTGCGGGCTGAATGGGAATTTCTGATTGGGAAATTTCTGACCGATTTGAGGTGGAGAGCTCCAGGGGGCGGGGTCACCAGCTGACCCAGAGGGTAACAGAAGTCGGGGGGCTCAGGGACAGCATGGGGGAGGCCTGAGCTCGGAGGCCCTGCCAATGGGCGAGAGGGTCCCCAACTCACAGCCAGGCCACTGTGGCTCACAAGGGGACAGTGGCTTGCCTCGTCAAGAGACCACTTCCATGGCCTGGCTCAGCCTATAAGGCGCTGGCGACCTGGTCCAGCCCTGCCCCCCACTTCTCCTCCCGTCCCACCTGCGCCTCCTGAACGCCCCTGAGGGGGCACACTCCTCACCTCGGGGAGGGGAAGCTGGGCTCTGCTTCCCAGCCTGGGCCCCCAGGAACCCTCAGGAACTACAGACAAACCATGCCCCCATCCTCCTGACACACATGGAGACTGGGGTGTGACCAGCTCAAGGTCACACAGCAAGGTCAGGGCCGAGGCAGGATTCAAACCTACGTCTCGCTCAGAGCGGGAGGTCAAGGCACAGACAGGAGGGAAGGGAGGAGAAAAAGCGAAGGTGGCCCGGACGACGGGACCCAGGACTTGGTGACATTCCTTGACTCACTCATTCAGTCAACAGATGCCCGCAGAGCATCGTCCCTGTGCCAGGCACCATTTCTTGGCTTGAGGGGCACAAACGGGAGAGAGAAAGAAGAAAACCCCGGCTCTTAGGGCTTTCATTCTGCGGATGACAAAACACAATAAACAAATGAAAATGTTTTAAGGTAAAATGTTAAATGGTGACAGGTGTTACAGCAAGGGAGCAGGCAGGAGCCTGGGCGTGCAGGGGCCGGTGGCACTGAGTTTTCAGTGGAGAGGTCAAGCTTGGCCTCACAGAGAGAGCAAAGATGCGAGGAGGTGCAGAGCAGGCCGGGGAGAAGCTTCTGGAGAGAGGGAAGGCGAGTGCAAAGGTGCCAGTGGGCTGACCGAAAGGAGGGCAAGGGGGAGGGCACCGCACACACGGCCCACCCAGGCCACCGCAGGAGTCCTTATTCAAAGGCAGCCAGAACCTCTCTGGGTCCTGAGCCCAGGAGGGACGTCGTCGGCCTGGGTGTGATCAGGCTCATTCTGGCCACGGAGCTGAGAAGAGACGGCAGGGGACACAGGCAGAAGCAGGGAGCCCGGCTGGGCAGCTACTGAGAGGGTCCAGGCCCAGGTGGGAGGATCCCAGGCCTGCAGCCCAGCCAGGCCTGAATGGAAACACTGGCTCTGCCTTTATGCTCTGATTTTGCCTCTCTGGGGCTCAGTTTCCACACCTGTGAAACGGGGACAGCACCTGTGGGAGATCGGCCTTGAGGATGTGCGATAATGGCAGGAGGCCCTCGGGGAATGCTGCCCTTATCCAGCTGACCGAACCCCAGGACTTTGAACCCCTGCTTGCTGTGGAACCCTGGGAAGGTGACTCAACCTCTCTGAGCTGGTCTTTCCCATCTGTGAGTGGGGTGATGTGGAGATGTAGGGATGCAGAATGTAGCTGGACAGAAAGCAGACATTTCTGCCACACATGGAAAGTAAGGAGAGGAAGTGAGCTCCCTGTCAGAGGAGGTATGGGAGTAGAGGCCACACCTTCCTTTGGTGAAGGCCCTTACGAGGACTCTGCATTTGTTATTCGATGTTCCAGCCCCGGGCCTGCAGGGTCAGCGTGTGCTCGCCAGGCCAGCTGCTCTCCTCTCATTTAACCCTCACAACGCAGCTCTGAGCAGGGCTGGGGCCATGGAATTCCCCATCCCCATTTTACAGATGAGGACACTGAGGCGGAGAGCGGGACAGCCACTTGTGCGAGGCCACTCGGCTGGCGCCTGGTGGAACCCACGCTTGGGCAGTCTCAAGTCAGATCCATGTTCTTTTGGTTCTAAACTCAGGGCGTGACCTTGGGCCAGTCCTGCCTCTGCTCTGGGCCTCTATCTTCTCCAGGGCACTGCAAAATGCCCCAGCTGAGAGCCAGCGCTGCCCCAGCCCGGACACCGAGCCAGGGGCGAGGAAGCACACGGGCCGCAGTGGGGACGGAGCCGGTTTATTGCGGGCTGTGTGTCCTGCAGCAAAGGCAGAGAGGTGGACCCGCCCACACAGCGGGTGCCCCTGAGCGCCCCGGCCCGCTAGGCGGCTAGGCAGACAGGCCGCTCTTGATGCTGCACAGGGGGCCCCGGGGACATCACCCCTCAGGCCGTCCCCCCGGGGCTGCGGGTGGGCGGTGCACACCGCCCCTCAGGCCGTCCTCCCCTGTCCGGGTCCGCGGGTGGGCAGCGCATGGCCTCCTCATAGGTGGGGACGGCGACTGGCGGTAGGGTCCTACGGGGACAGGAGAGGACAGGCGTTAGCAGGGCGAGGGCCACCCCGAGACCGCCGCCAGGGGGACAGGGAGGGTGGGGGCTCCCCACGCCCTGGGCATAGGTGACACGGGCGGGCAGCCCTGCCCACCTCAGCTCTCCACTGCAGCCTTGCCCTGTGGTCAGGGCCACGCTCGCTGGCACACCTCCACACCCTCGTCAGCTCCCTGCAGGGCAGGCCCTTCCCACCTCCCTCCCCCACCCCTGCGGGGCGGGCCTTTGAGACTCCTCTGGGAAGCTTTTGTGACTGTCCCTCCCCTGGCAAAGCTGCCCCTCCAGCTCTGGCCCCACAGCACCCTCCTCTGCTACCGCACTGACCCTGTCTGGCTGTCCCTAGGGCAGGGACTGAGTGTCCAGAGTCAGAAGGCAGGTGCCTGGGGATGTTTGTGGAAAGACTGAGTGATGGTCCGTGGGCAGAAAGACTCCCGGCTTACTGTAACATCCCTTACAAGATCTGGAGTTGTGGATGCTCAGGGCAGGATGGGAGACCTCAATTCTCCCGTCCATCAGGACGCTTGAGGCCCTGATATGGGAAGTCCACCAAGTAAGCACCACTGCTTGTATACCGTCAGAGATGGAGAACTCACTACCTACCAAGTCAACCACTTCTATCTTTGAACAGCTCAGCTTTCCTGTGACTTGCCCCCACCCCCTCAGATGAACCACCCCACAGGGACCTGAGGCAGGATCAGGTCTTATGACCTGGCTCTGCAGGCTAGATTCCAAGAACAGGTCACCCGTAGTCCAGCCACACCAGTGGTGATGGGAACGAGACTGGCTTTCAGGCCTCTCAGGGACCTGGCAGGTCACCTGTGGGGAGTCATTGCCTCTTCTGCTCCAGGGACCCTGGGGTTGGGGTGTCACTGAGTCTTGGTCTGGGAGCTACTGTTTCAAGGATGATACTGCCAGATACAGGGGCCAACTAGATGACCTCGAAGGTCACTTCCCACACCGAGTGGTTCAAGGGCTGGTTGTAAGTCTGGGCACTGGCTGGGTCAGCTCCCCGCTCTGCCACTTTCCTGCTGGGAGATCATGGGTCAGTAACTCCATTGCTCTGGGCCTCAGTTTCCCAATCTGTAAAAGGGGGACAATAATGGCCCCGACCTCACTAGACTGTGAAGATTAAATGAGATAACGCAGGGGGCACTTAGTACATGCTCCATAAATGGGGGCCTGGAACAAAACCTCCAGGGCCTCCGTGAGGGAGGGGCATGGGGACGAGACCTATCCTGGGTCTCAGCGTGGCACGGCCCGCACAGGCTCAGAGAGCCGTCATCTGGCCCGTCACTGTGGGGAGCAGTGCACCGCCTGTCTGACAGGGGACGGCGATGGCAGGAGGCCGACCCGGAGGAGCTCCATCCCAGGGGCTGGTGGATGGGCCGTGCCAGGAACTGCTGCGGCCCCCCACCCCGTGAGCGCCCATCGCCCACGGGGACATGACCCCTCTCTGAGCAACGTGTCTTGTCAGGCCAAGCCTGCCGCAGCCCCTGGAGCGGCCCACTGAGGGCAGGCTGGCTGCTCCAGTCCCGGACAGGGTCCCAGAGCTGAACCCCAGCCTGTGAGCCAGTCTGACGGGGGGTGCCGACCAGGAGCCAGATCTGGGCTCCCTACCCAGGGCTCCTGCAAACTTCTCTCACACACCCTCCTCCTCCGGGAGACAGCTCAGCAGCCCCGCAGCTGAGGAAGCCGGTATGGGGCCTCAGCCTTCCCTGAGCTCCAGCATCTTTTGCAGGTGAGGGCAGGCAAAGAATATCGCTTCTGGAGGCCGGAGAGCCAGATTCCGTTGCTGTGTGACCTAGACCGTGTTTGCATCCTCTCTGAGCCTCTTTCTCCTTTCCTCGAGTGTTGTCCCCATTTTATAGATTTAGGAGAGGAGAAAATGGAAAAGACTTTGACAACCTTCAAAAAACTGTGGGTGACAAGGCTTCTAGAGTCCCACGTCTCCTGCCCGGCTCAGCTCCAGCCACACCCCCGCCACTCCCCACTTCCTCAAGCCCTACAGACATGACACAGCCTTTGGGTGTGTCTGGGCCCCCCCCGGTGGGGCGACGGCGGGCAGGGCAGGGCACAGGCGCCAGGGGAGTTCAGCCACAGCAGGAAGTTTGCTTAGAGGGCAGAGGTGGCGCGGCCAGCGGGGCCCACCCAGGCCCACGTTTCCACGGTGATGGTCCCGGAGGCTCGTGTTTCCCAAGGCCCCGTGTGGGGTGGCTGTCTGGCACTCTTCAGGCCATCTCCGCTCATGGAATATTCTGGATATGATGCCTGCAGTCGCGTGGGGCAGGCCCTCCAGGACGGTGCCAGGGCACAGGAAACTCTGGGCTGGCAGGGCCAGGGGCTGGGCCTGGCGCTGGCTCCTCTGCCGTCCAGCTGAGTCAGGCACACGTGGCAGGGAGCCGGGAAGGACAGGGCAGGAAATGCTAGCCCCCCACCACGAACCTCTCTCAGCTCGGTTCACGTTCCGCACGACCTGGAGAGGGGCTCTGGCCATCAGGCGGGTGAGTGACGTCACATGGCATCCGATGGCCAGGCCCCAGCTGCGCTCTGCCCCCGACGGTCATGCTGCCCAGCACCTGGTCTCTGCCCCTCAGCTCCCTCTTGAACCGGCCTCGGCTTCCCCTCCTGCACCCAGTCCGTCAGCGGGCACGAGGGCACTGTAAGCTAGAAAGCGCAGCCACAGCAGCAAACGAACGTGTGCTCAGATGTGACAGTGGACCCATTCCCCTGTCTGTCACCCCGTCTGAGCCTCACAGCAATCCTAGGGGAATTCAGTCACCACCAGCTGACAGGTGAGGAATTAGGCACGGCTCAGAGGGTCGGAGTAAGCCCAGGACACATGGCTCCTAAAAGAAGGAGACTAAGCAACATGCTACTGAGCAGCCAACGGGTCACTGAAGAAACTAAAGGAGACATTAAAAGAAAGAGCAGAGACTGAAGCCCCCGCATCTGAACAGGCCCATGCTTTTTCCGCTGAGGGGGCCCCTGCGGGCCTCCCATCCAGCCACCTCATTTAGGGGCCCACACTTAAGATGGGAGCCCCCAGAGGGCAGGGGTTTTGTCCGTTTTCTCCAGTGTGGTATCGTCAGGGTCCTGAATAGGAGCCCGCACGTAGGACAGGCTCACTGAGTACTGGGTAACTGTATGACAGAACAAACAGATGAACAGATGGAGGAATGGTGGCCCCAAGAGGGCAGGGCCTGCCCAAGCCATGAGCCTCGGAGGCCTTTGCCTCTGACCTGAATTTGCCCACAGCCAGAGAGGGAGGGCAGGCAGCAGGGCCGGGCTGGGTCAGTCCCAGGGACAAGACAGAGCCATCCGCGGAGGCAGCCTCCCTGACACCCGGCCACCCCAGCTCTCAGTCTAAGCCTTGGGTCTCTGCGCCTGATGGCCCAGGGATACCCCGTGCCCTTCTGGCAGGGCTTCTTCCCTGGCCTGGACAGAATGAAAGCCAAGTGGCCCCACCTGACAGATGCACCTGTGGCCCAGCCCCTGTTGGGTCAACATGGCTGTGTGTACAGACAACACCCACCCCTACACTCAGGCCAGGCTGGCCGGGGTGGGACAGGCTCCATCCAGAGCACCCTGAGGCCTGGCCTGCTTCCACTGACGACTAATCGGCTGTGTGGCCAGGTAGGTCACAGGCCCTTTGAGACCCAGGCTCCTCCTCTGAGAAGTGAAGGGTTTGCCTGGAGAGTCCCCACGGCCCTGCCCGTCCCTCTCACAGCTGGACGAGCCCACGGCCCTGCCCTTCCCTCTCACAGCTGGACGAGCCCACAGCCCTGCCCTTCCCTCTCACAGCTGGACGAGCCCACGGCCCTGCCCTTCCCTCTCACAGCTGGACGAGCCCACGGCCCTGCCCTTCCCTCTCACAGCTGGACGAGCCCATGGCCCTGCCCTTCCCTCTCACAGCTGGACGAGCCCATGGCCCGACCACTGGACTAAGTGGCCTCCTGAATACTCTCTTCCTCCGACCTCAGGGAGTCGCGGGCCAGCAGCAAGAACAATCTGTTACGTTCTTTAACTCAGAATGCATTTGGAATCTCTATCAAAATTCGAAGGGTATTTTCCACAGAAACAGAACAAACAATCCTAAAGTTTATATGGAATCACAAAAGACCCTGAATAGCCAAAGCAATCTGGAGAAAGAAGAACAAAGCTGGAGGCAGCATGCTCCCTGATTTCAAACTATACTACAAAGCTATAGTAACCAAAACAGTATGGATTTGGCATAAAAACAGACACACAGATCAACGGAACAGAACAGAGAGCCCAGAAATAAACCCACACATATGTGGTCAATTAATTTATGACAAAGAAACCAAGAACATACAATGGGGAAAGGACAATCTCTTCAATAAATGGTGCTGGGAAAACTGGACAGCCACATGCAAAAGAATGAAACTGGGTCCCTATCTTACACCACACACAAAAATCAACTCAAAGTGGATTAAGGACTTGAATGTAAGACCTGAAACCATAGACCTCCTGGAAGAAAATATAGGCAGTAAGCTCCTTGACATAGGTCTTGGCAACAATTTTTTGGATCTGACACCAAAAGCAAAAACAACAAAAGCAAAAATAAACAAGTGGGGCTACAACAAACTAAAAAGCTTCTGCACAGCAAAGGAAACCATCAACAAAACGAAAAGGCAACCTACTGAATGGGAGAAAAATATTTGCAAATCATATTTCTGATAAGGGGCTAAAATCCAAAATATAGAAAGAACTCCTACAACTCAATAGCAAAAAAATCCGATTAAAAAATGGGCAGAGGAGCTGAATAAACCTTTTTCCAAAAAAGACATCCCGATGGCCACCAGATACACGAAAAGGGGCTATACATCACTCATCATCAGGGAAATGCAAATCCAAACCACGATGAGATGTCACTGCACACCTGTTAGAATGGCTAATATGACAAAGACAAGAAATAATAAGAGTTGATGAGGATGTGGAGAAAAGGGAACCCTGGGGCACTGTTGGTGGGAATGTAAACTGATGCAGCCTCCGTGGAAAACAGTATGGAGACTCCTCAAAAAAATTAAGAACAGAACTACCATACGATCCAGCAATGCCACTTCTGGGTATTTACCTGAAGAAAACAAAAACCCTAACTCGAAAAGATTCCTGTGCCCCCATGTTCACTGCAGCATTATTCACAATAGCCGAGACGTGGAAACAACCTAAGTGCTCATCGACGGATGAGTGGATAAAGATGTGGTGTACACACACAATGGAATACTATTTAGCCATAAAAAAGAATGAAATCTTGCCATTTATGACAACATGCATGGACCTCCAGGGCACTGTGCTAGAGAAAGACAAAAACCAAGCCCAGATACAAAGACCAGACTGGTGGTTGCAAGAGGTGGGGAGTCGGGGTGGGAGAAACAGGTTGAACTGTTTGGGTTTTTTATTGTAAATAAATTGAATTTAAAGAAACATGCATTCTGCTACATTCCTTAACTCAGAACGCATTTTCCCTCTAAGGAGGGGAGCAGGGCGTCGAGGTCCCAGGCCGCCCACAGAGGACTGGTTTAGCCCTAACCCATCCAAACCCAGTGCCTTCAGAGGGCTTCACAGCCAGCAGGCTCCACCACCTCCTGGCTGTGTGACTCTCACCGTCCTCTTCTGTGAACAGCAACAGTAATTCTTACCCGGCAGGCGGCCAGAAGGACTGAGAAGCTGCATGCCAGCCCTTGAGAGGTAGGCACCCCGACACTCGGTTGAATGAGGAAGCACATAATGAGTGCACGCATAAAGCATGCATTCTCAACAGGGAAAAACCAGTCCTTGGGATCTACTGATGATATTCTGTTTATGTATAAAGCACCGATACACACACAGAACATAAACAGATATACAGTATACCTGTGGTATTAAAATTTCATGGAGGTGGATTAAGAAAAAGATGCCTAAAAATGCTCCTTAGAGGGAGCGATGATGAAAAAAAAGGTTGAGAAGTAACGGTTTTCATGCAGGATTGTCTCTCTGCCCCTATCCCACCCCTGGGCCTTTGCACACACTCATGGGCTTGCCTAAACCGCCTCTTGCCACCTTAGCCACTTCAGGGAAAGCTGACATTTACTGTGCACCTACTGTGCAACAGGGACTAGGCAAAGTTCCACATGTACGGCCTCTCGTTCGCTTCTCCCTGGGTCCCCTGAGCGAGGGAGTGGGTGAGAGCACAGACTCGGGGCTCAAGTCCTGGTTCTGACAGACACTAGCGGGGTGCCCTTGGGCAAGTTACTTAAGGTCTTGGTGCCTCAGTTTCCTCATCTGTAAATGGAGTTAACAATACTACCTACTTCAGAGGCTGCTGTGAGGATGAAAGAAGAAATACATAAAAAGCACTTGGAACGGTGTCTGGTCCACAGCAAGTGCTGTATTGGTGTTTGCTATGATCGTCGTTGTTCCATTATGTCTGTTTTATTTCGGATGAGCAAGCCAAGGATCAGTGGGGTTGCACAATCTGGTTAGTGAGTGAACCGGAGGGGATCCCAGCAGGTCTGACTCCTCATACTCCTTCTGCTGCTCTGCCCCACTGGAGGCTGAGCTCAGCTGCCAGCTCCCTCGAGGAAGCCTTCCTGGATTTCTTCAGGACTCCACAAGCCCATGCTTGCCCCCTCCCACAGCTCTGACTGCTCTGGTTGGTCATGTCTGCCTCTCTCAGGGGCCGTTAAACTCCCACAGGACTGTGCCAGTCAACTTCCATGCCCCCAGGGCACAGGCAGGCTGGGTCCAGAGGAGGAAGCCCTTGAGAGTGCTGCGCGAACGCCTTGGGATGGAGTGGGTCCCACCTGCGGCCCCCGCTCTGCCCCACTGACCTGCAGCGCTCCTCTGAGGGGTCCACAGTGAGGTAGTACAGGTCCCTGGAGAGACGATATGGGTCCCATCGGGGCTGCCCCCCTGCGCTGGCCTTGACGGACCACAGCAGGCCGCAGAGCAGCAGCAGGCCACCCACTGAGCAGCAGAAGAAGCTGACCGCCCTGAGCAGGGGCCTGGGAGCCTCGGGCACGGGGTGCCCAGTGGGCAGGGCCGGCTGGCCAGGCTGGGCGCCTGCATCCCCTTCACTCCACCAGGCGAAGCAGAGGGTCCCCGCCACCAGAAGCACCGTGCCACTGAGTGTCAGGCAGTAGCGGAGGGTGGAGGCCGCCCGGCTCCCATCACACACCTGGACGTGGAGAGAGAGAAGAGGAAACGGGCCATGTGAGAGGCCTGCTGGCGACCGGAGACCCAGGTTTTCCTTCTCTTCTGCCTGAGGTCACTTTGCAAACCGGGAGAGGTAATTCGACTTCTGCGCGTCAGTCTCTTCATCTGTGAAATGGAGATGATGCTCCCAACTTTGCAGGGCTGTTTGGAAGGTCACAATGTGTCTCAGGTTCCTAGCACCACACGGGGATGCAGTAGGAGCTGGGTAAGTGTGGCTACGGTTCCTCTCTCCGGGCCTCCGAGGCCGCGTCTGCCCGGTGGGTATAAGTCCCCACTGAGTCTTCCCCAGCCTGGGAGAGCGAACGTCGGGACCACCAGGCCCACCAGCTCACGGCTTCCTGGGGACACACTGCTTTGTTTCAGCCTGGTCACAGGCCCGTGAGGGTGACACTCTCGTCTCCGCTTGACAGAGGCAGACGTGAAAACACGGGTGGGTAGAGGAACTCATGAAAGAGGACAGCCACAGCTCTGAGGTTGAAATTCATGACAGGAAGCAAGACTTTGTGCAAAAAGATGTCCACCATGGTCTTACTTATCACGGTCCTAAGTGGGAAGAGCCGGAATGTCCACCTATAGGGAAATGGTGAGTAGACCCTGGCACAACCTCTGGGTGGACTATTAATGACTCATTGAAGAAAATCAAGCTCAGCACAAATGTCTAACAGCAGGGGGAAATGCTTTGATATCTTGCTTTTTCCAACTTAGTTTACCAAATTACTCATACTGTGCTATCTCGATTAGGTAAAGAAAAAATGCACAGGAACAAACAAACAAACTGGAGGGAAACCTGGTCCCAGATCGTGCAGACAGGAAGGGGCTGAAACCACGTCCATGTTGTCCCCAATGCCAGCCTCTAGGCCAACTGTACATGCTGTTCCCTCTGCCAGTAACTTCCTGCTATCTCCCCTCAAGGCTCAGCTGGGTCCTCACCCAAGAAGCCTTCATGGGTGACACTCTACACCAAGTCCCCTGGCCTTCTTGGGCCACAGCACCTGCCTGCCTGTGTTTGACTTCTCTGCTTGGCCTCCTCAGCCGACAGCGAGCTCCCGTAGGCCAGGGTCCACACTGGCCCTGTGCTCTGCTCTACGTCCCAGGGCCTAGCACATGGCTGCTCAGCAAGTATTTGTTGAAGAAATGCTCTTAAATGAGGAAAGGTGTTGCTGGGCAAACGCATATAGTGTGAGAAGTCTCCCTCACAGCAGGGTGGAGGTGGCGAGGGGAGGGAGCACAGGACCCCACTGCTCAGCACCCAGCCAGGGAGCACCAGCCAGGGAGCACCAGCCATGAAGAACCAGCGAGGAAGCACTAGCCATGGAGCACCAGCCATGAAGAACCAGCAAGGGAGCACCAGGCATGGAGTACCAGCCATGAAGAACCAGCCAGGGAGCACCAGCCATGAAGAACCAGCCAGGGAGCACCAGGCATGGAGCACCAGCCATGAAGAACCAGCCAGGGAGCACGAGGCATGGAGTACCAGCCATGAAGAACCAGCCAGGGAGCACCAGCCATGAAGAACCAGCCAGGGAGCACCAGCCATGAAGAGGGACCAGCCAGGGAAGCACCAGCCATGGAGCACCAGCCATGAAGAACCAGCCAGGGAGCACCAGGCATGGAGTACCAGCCATGAAGAACCAGCCAGGGAGCACCAGCCATGGAGCACCAGCCATGAAGAACCAGCCAGGGAGCACCAGGCATGGAGTCACCATGAAGAACCAGCCAGGGAGCACCAGCCATGAAGAACCAGCCAGGGAGCACCAGCCAGGGAGCACCAGCCGTGAAGAACCAGCCAGGGAGCCCCCAGCCATGGAGCAACAGCCATGGAGCCAAGGTGGCTGTGGTCTCCACTCCGCAGCTTCCAGCCGTGTCCCAGCTGAGCCTCTCCCCTCTCATCGGGTTCCTCCTAGGAAGGAGACTCTCTGGCTGGCTGCCAGGAGAACCTAGCGCAGCCTGGGCTCCTCTTCCACAAGCTGAGCCAGTGAGGCAGGGACTGGGGACTCGCAGACCTCAGGGGGACTTCAGCGATCAGAAATGCCTTCCAGATGGGGCGTGCCCAGAGAGACATGGCACATCCAACCGATGCCCTGCTGGGCAGCCATTCAAAGGCTCCTCCGGGGGCCCCCGCCGGGCATGGCAAAGGCTCACGGCACAGCAGCGGAAACTTCAGACTTCAAAAAGCAGGCTCCCCCGTGTGTTTTAAAACAGGTATGTGTGTGTGCGTGTATGCGTATGCGAGTGTGCAAACACACATACACACGAGAGAGAATGTGTGTAATAGGGGTGCTCTAAGAGTGTACCCCAATCCTTCTGAGCCCCTAGACCACCAGAAGCATATAGAAAAATGACATTTGTAAATTAGCCGCAGTCTTCTTCTGTGAATCTGTCTTTGGGGCAAGGGTCTCACGTCTCCAGCTCAAGGCATTTTCATGGGGGGAAGAAAGGAACCCGACTCCCCTCTCCTCCCCAAAGTCCGACAGCCGGGAGAGGCTGTCAAGAGGAAGCTGGAGAAACCAGATTGGAAAAACCCCACAAGCAATCAATCCTGGTCACCCCTGCCTGCATACCATGGCACTTGACAGTTGCCCTTCACACCCAGCATCCCGTAACGGAGGCAGGTGGTCAGCGCAGGAAAAGAAAGTCCTGTTTTGCAAATGAAGAGACAGAGCCCAGAAAAGGGAAGGACTTTGCCCAAAGCCAGATACAGCTGGGTTTCTCAACACTAGAAGAACTCACTCCCGCATAAGATAACTGACAAGGCCTCTTAATTTCTAGAAAAGCTACAGTTCCTCATTGAGGGAAAAGGAGAAAACCACAGAAGAGAATAAAAATGCAAAACACAAATCATCCTTAACCCTGTCCCTCAGAGATGAGCGTGATCTGCGTGGGTGTTTCCTTTCCATGTCTCCCTTGGCCTCCGTACACCATGATGGTGGCAGCAGATGTGTGCTGGGCATTTACACAGGCTGGCTACCACACCAAGCACTTTACAGGTGTCCCCTCACCGAATCCTCACAACAGCATTATGTCCAAGGACACTGGGGCTCTGAGGGTGACAGCTTGGCTGATGTCAGGGTGGAATTTGAACCCAGGACTAGTCTGACTCAAACCCCTGTGTGCGCACAGCGAAATCTACGTTTATGATTCAGTATACGAAGGTGAGACCACGCTGTGAAGAGATATACTCATAAGTCCTTGGCACAGGCTGTTCTTGTTCTCCAGAATGCACCACCCTCCATCCTGCCTCAGCTCCCCCCAGGCCTCAGACAAGACCCTGCAACGGCCCTTAGCATGTTCACTGGGTGTGGTGCCCACCCCCTTCCGAGTGGGCCTCCCTCCTTCCATGTGGCTCCTGCGTGGGCAGGCACAGGCTAACCTGGCGTCTCCCGGAGGTGGCGGTGTCAGTGTCCACTGCAGGAAGGACAGCCTGCTCGGTTGTGTGGTGGTTTTCTCTCTTATTACAGATCAGGGCTCTGACAGGCTATCAGCAGGGGGTCTTGGCCCAGGACCCCTGGCCCCATTTCAGGGGTGGTCTTCAGGCAGCTGACTCGCCTCTCACGTGCATGGAGCCTGCACCCTGATGAAGGAAGATGGAGGGCCTCCCTGCCCGGAGAGCCAGAAACTTCTCCAGCCCCAGAGCGGCCCCAGTCAGGGCTTGCCAGGCCGGCCCCTCCCTCCTGGTCCCCCAGACCCCCACACCCAAACTCCTGCCACCTGCAGGCCTCTACACCTGTTGCTCGTTCCACCTAGGGAGCCCTCTGTGCTGGTTCAGGGCCCTCATTTCACAGCCCCACCCCCTTGAAGACCCAGCCCAAACATCACCTCCTCCCGGAAGCCTTTCTGCTGCTGCCACCCCGGCTCCCACCAGCCAGAGGAGGTCTTTCCCTGCATTGCTCCCTCTGACCACGGCCATTCTGTCGGTCAGCTCTGTGACCTTAATCAGGCTGCTCAACATCTCTGAGCTCAAATGCCTCAGGAGCAAGTTGTGAAGATGAGATGGCAAGCTGTACACGAAGCATGGTGACACAGAGCTGGACAGAGCATGGACCCCGGCTCTGACACCGTGCAAGTTACCTCGCTTCTCCATGCCTCAGTTCCCTCCTCTGTAAAATGGACACGATAAAACCGTATCGTCCATGTCACCAACGAGGGAACTTGAGGTGCCAGTTTTCTGTAAAGAAGTCAGTACAAGAAGCAGTCCAAACCATCCCCAGGTAACTGCGGGCTCACCTGGGGCCCTGAGCGCCATGGCCCAAGGCCACCTAGCGAGTTAGAGCACAGTTAGGAGGGGATCCGCTCTCCAGACTCTGCCCACCAAGGCCCTGTGGTCAAGGTGGAGAGCAGGGGTCCAGGCGGGGTCGGCGTTACGGGAGCGGGAGCCGACATGCTCCCGAGGGAGGGCCGGGGGAGCTGCTACCCACCTCGGGCGCAGCCATGGCGCGGCAGGCCAGGAAGGCGACCCCCCAGCCCCGCTCTGCGCCCCGCCGCGAAGGCCGGCTCCGGTCAAGGTCTCATCGGGGCTCTCGCCGCCCGCCTGGCAGCCCCTGCTCCCGAGTGACGCCCCCGCAAGCCCCGGCCTGGCCCTGGCGGCCGGCTCCCCTGGGCTTGGGGCCGCGTCCTCGGGGCCGCCGGGGGCGCGTCCCCGGTTCCCTGCTCCAGGGCGCCTGCAGGTGCCGCGCCTCCGCCCGGGCCGCCCCGCCCGTCCTTAAAGCGGCCGCGCCGCGCCGTCCGGGCTGCTGAGCCCGGGTTTCCCAGCGCGGGGTGGGGGCTGGGAGGGGCGGCCCGCCGTGACCCGCACCGCACGGGCACCGGCGGAACCGTGGTCCTTGGGGCCGTCCCGCTCCGCTCCCCCGCTGGGGCGGGCTTGGGAACCAGCTCTTCGGAGAGCCACCAAGTTCGTCGGAGGTGGGGGTCCTGGGCCGGCCTCCTCACTCCCATTTCACAGCAAGGGAAACTGAGGCCCAGGGAGGGGCGGTCCTTTGCCCTGGTGTCTTTAGCGCGTACTCCGTTGGCGACACTGCTTTTTCCTTCTCAGTCGGAGAGCAAGCCCCTGCCCTCACCCCCTGAGCAGGAAAGCATTCTCAGAAATGACGGCTGGCATGTAAGTGCCTCCCTCAGCCCCGAAGGTCACTGCCCAGCCGCCCGGGCCGGAGAGCAGGCCCGAGAGCAGGGAGTGACCCAGCTTCTCCGAACCTTCGCGCTGATGGCCCCGGCTCACGGTCCGCGGGCCCGGCCGAGCGGAGCAGGGCTGTGAAGCGCTGGCTCCGGAGGGAACGCACGCAGGCTCAGGCCGTTTGTGTGGAGTGGGCGGGAGGAAGCCCCCCGCGGGGTGTGAACTCCTCGTGGGAGGACACCCGAGCTGTCTTAGGGGAGAAGGGTCGGGTGCCCCAGCCTGAAGGAGCAGCATGAGCAAAGGCTGGACAGTCTCAGCCTGGGCAAGCTTGACCGTTCATGTGGGTCAAAGGGAGGCGGTCTGGACCAGCCAGGGTCTGGGTTTTCTTTTGTCTCCTGCTGCTCCAACAAGTCAGGGCGCTTGGGCCGGGTTCCCCTCAGCCAGGCCGAGGAGTTCCCATCCAGCTGATGGGACCAACTCTCCTCCCTGCCCAGGGCACAGAAGGTCGGAGCACCTGTCCAGCAGGGATCTGAAGCTCAGAGAGGGGAAGCCACCGTCTCAGAGTCACGGAGCAGGTCAGTGGCAGGGCGCAGGCCCCTGATTTCCAAACTCCTTGTCTCGGAGGAAATATTCCACCCAAGAGCATTAGCGTTCTCTGAGCGCCGACTCCTCTCCCCAGTGAGGTCCTTGTACGTGTTACCTCTTTTCCTCTTCACGATGCATGTGGTCGGTATAAATGAGCCCATCTTACAGACCGGCAGCTGAGGCTCAGAGAGGGCAAAGGCCCGGGTGAGGCTCCGAAGCTCGGAGGTGGCTGTGCTGAGACGGGACCAAGCCGGCCTGGAGCAGGGTGCCTTCAGCTCTGCTCTGCGCAGCCTGCATGTGGGCTGAAGGCCACCACGGCCGTCTGGTGCTAGGGGCCTGCTTAGAGAAGGTATGAGGGGAAGTGGGAGGCCGTGAAGCCCCACTCACTTCTGCAGGGGCATCCGTGCAGGTCATGGGCGCCTCACTGGTCAAGACACCCCCCTCCCTGCCAGTGGGCCCAGGGGTAAGTCACAGGTTGGGAAAGCTGAGGTCCAGGCCGGGGCACATCCCGACCCTGCTTAAGCCTGAGTCCCCTGGCCCAGGCTGGATGCTCGGGCCCTGGCATTGAACAGGTTTCGACTTCTTTCCTCATTCAGCCACTTCCAGGCTGGCAGACTCTGGCTGTATCCTTATCTATAAAGTGGAGACAATGGCCCCTCCTCCCAAGGGGGCTGTGAGGGCTTCATAGCTACTTAACAAGACCTTATCCACGAGGAGCTGGCCTGAGGCCTCTCCCAGTACACAGTGGCTCCACGTGTGGGTCTCCTTAGTGACGGTGGCCTCCCTGAGGGCAGGGACTCTGCTCAGGACCCAGCCAGACCCTGCCGGGACCCGAGGGGGCTGGGACCGGGTGCTGATCAGAACCTGGGGATTAGCCCAATTCTTCTGGCTCTGTCTTCCTCTTCCCCACTTTTGGCAGCCCTGGTGTCAGCCCCAGGCCTGCCGTGATGCCAGGCGCCGAGGGGAGCCCCGCAGGCCTGGGCAAGCTTCGAGGCCCTTTCTGCGGAGCAGCCTCAGGCCTTCTCTGGCTCCAGCTGGCGACTCAGAGGAGATCTGTCGCCAGCTTCTGACTCAAGGGGGTAGAGAAGGGGCTACCACTTGCACTCACTTATTACACGTCACCAGCCAGCCGCTTCTCCCATTTCATTGTCACCTCAGCTGAGCCCTTGGGGCTGAGAGAGAAGTGCCTTGCTCGGGGGTCACACAGCTAATTAAGTGGGGGGTGGGGAAGTGGAGAAGAGGCACTGGAATCCACATCCGTCTGAACCTTCCAGATCCATGTGGGCTTTTCCCTTTGTGCCACAGTGTCCCCTCCTCAGTTACATCCTGGCCTGCCTCCCCCAGGCCGTCTGCCCTTCATACGCATCAGCTGGTGCTTCCAAACCAGCACCCGATGGGTGCCTCACCTGCCTGAACCTGCCAGTGCTCCCGAGGCCCTCAGAGTGACGGCCCGGCTCCCAAGTACCCACGCCGTGAGCAGGTCCCTGTCCGCCTCCCAGCGCATTCCCTGCGTCCCTCCGTGCGCTCCTGAGCTCCCTGTGCACTGTGTCCCTTGCACGGGTCCTTCTTCCTCACCAGCTTCGCCTGGTGAGCTCAGGTGTTTCCCTTAAGACTCAGGTCACAGGTCACCTTCTCTGGGTGACTTTGGGTGCATTCCAAAGCCAAATTACTTGGTCCCTCTTTCAGGCTCCCACAGGACTTCACAGACATCCACCGTAGCCCTGAGGATGTTTACAGAAATGAAACTACATGCCTTCCCTTCTTCTGCACTAAAAAGAAATAGCTGGATATTGCAGGAAATTTAGAAAGTATCAGTTAGTTAAGACAAATCAGAACATCCCCCTTCACAGGTAAAGAACAGTCTCCAGCCCTGTAAAGGAAAAACACAGTTCCCTAAACGCAGCCCCATCTACACAGGCTCTGCACATTCCCCCCACCCCCCACCCCTCACCCCCCCAACCCCTGTCTCGGGCAGGTGATTCTGGAGCCCACGGCCACATTTGGAGAAGCAAGGAGACATAAGCACCGGAATCAGGCGGGTCTCCTCAGGTCGTTATGGGGATTAAGTGAGTTACTATATCATGGGCTTAGCAACAGTGCTTGGCACATAGTAAGTGCTTAGTCGCGTTGGCTATTATTATTGTTGTCATTATTTTATCTGTTAGTAGAAGGGAAGCACTGAGAGAATCCATGATCTTCTTGGAAGAGCAGCCTCCCTCCCTCCCCCACCTCCTGCCTCCCAGGCAGGGATCCAGCATCCTTTTCCGGGACGCCACCTAGACCCAACCACTGTGACATTTTTTTTTTTTTTTTTTAAGATTGGCACCTGGGCTAACAACTGTTGCCAATCTTTTTTTTTATTTTCTGCTTTATCTCCCCAACCCCCCCTGTACACAGTTGTATATCTTAGTTGCAGGTCCTTCTAGTTGTGGGATGTGGGACGCCGCCTCAGTGTGGCCTGACGAGCGATGCCATGTCCGCGCCCAGCATCCGAACCCTGGGCCGCCACAGCGGAACGCGTGAACCCAACCACTCGGCCACGGAGCTGGCCCCGTGTGACATTTTGATGTAATGCTTTCCAAATGTGTGCATCTTACAAAAATCTGATCCCGCATCGCATACTGTTTCTAATAGGCTTTCATTTTCACTCAATACAGTCCCTCATGAACGTCTCTCCATATCTCACTGCGTTCTAAGTGTCCGCTTACGTATCTGGCCCCCATACTGACAGCATCTGAGGGCAGGGCTGCACCTCTCATGACTTGCCCCACCGCCCACCCCGTGCCATCTCAAAGCCGGCACACAGTATGCCCAGCACCAACACATGTCGTGAACAGCATGGGATGTGTGGTGCGGGGTTGGTCTGTCCCCTGCCTAGGAACATGGCGCGTGTCCATAGGGAGGGAAGAAGGCTCACAGAGGAGAGAGCATCTCAAAATCCAAGCCAAGGTTAAGGAGCGGGCATATCTTTAAAGAAAGATCTCTGAGCACATTCCTTAATGCCAAACAGCAACAGGATCCCGAGGTTTCGCTTCAGCAAAGAGGCGGTTTAGGGCAGGATTCTCAAATGGGGGCGATTTTGCACCCCCTCCCCCTCCAGAGGACATCTAGCAGTGAACGGAGACACTTTTGGTTGTCACAACTGTGGTAGGTGGGGCGATACTATTGGCATCTGGTGTGTAGAGGCTGGGGATGCGCTCACACCCTACAATGCACAGGACAGCCCCCAACAAAGCATGATCTGGTCCCAGGTGTCGAGTGCCGAGGCGAGAAGCCCTGGTCTGCACGTCTTAGGCAGGCTTTGGAGACTGGTGGCTCAATGGATTTCCGACTGTGTTCCAGAGACAGGAGGGAAAATAGATAAATACAGAATGTGATATAAAGAAATATAAGGGAAAATAAACCTGAGAGTCTAGAAATTCAACCCTGTTTCCCCATATGCTGTAGAGAAGTCTCAGGAATTCTAACATGTCACTTTTGAACCAAACTCACCAGAATGTCTCTTGTCCGTGAGGAGCAGAAAGGGTGGATCTGCTTTGATCTCTATTTTATAAGCCCAGAAAAGGAAAGTGAGTTGCCTGAAGTCACACAGCTAATCTGGACTATGACAGGGACCCAGCCCCAGACTCCTGATGGCCAGAGCCTCCTCGCCACCACGGAGAATCGTCGATGCCTTGGGCTGGGAGTCAGGCACCTGGGTGGGGGGAGAAGGAGTTGGCAAACTGCCGCACAGACCGGATCTGGCTCACTGCCTGTTTTTGTATGGCCTGTGAACTAAGAATGGTTTTCACATTTTTTTAATGGTTGAAGAAAACCAAAAGGAGAATAACATTTCATGATGCATGAAAATTTAATGAAATTCAAATTTTAGTGTCATAAATAAAGTTTTATTGGAACGCAGCCACACTCATTCTTTACATGTTACTTTTGTGCTGCTACAGTGTTAGAAGTAAGCGGTTGTGACAGAAACCATATGGCCCCTAAAGCCTAAAATATTTACTATCTGGACTTTTACAGAAAACGTTTGCCAGCCCCTGCCCTGGCCTCTGGCTCAGCCCTGCCACTAACGTGCTGTGCAATCTGGGGCAAGAGGCCACACCTTTCTGGGCCTCCTCACTTGTAAAATGGGGCGGGACCCCGGGAGAGACAGTGCTCACCAAGAATTCAGGAACAAGCCGGGCTTGTTGGGGACACTACAGAGGACACCCCAGGATTTCCGGGTGGACCAACAGGGAGGCTCCGCAGAGGGGCTCTGAGCTGGGCTGTGATGGGAGAGGATTTCCACAAAGACAGGGCTGGCACTGGGGACAAGGAAGGACCATCTGCTCAAGGCACGACGCTGATCACCGAAGGTTACAGCATTCTTATGCTGACGAGACATTTTTGTAAGCTTTTGTGTAAACCAGCTTATTAAAGGTTATCAACAGACTAAAAGTTAGCATCCACTGACTGTCTACCGAATGCCAGACACTATGCTAGGGGCGCTGTATACTTAGGTCATTTAGTCCTCAAAGAGTATGGTAGGAACTCTTTTTTTTACAGCTTTATTGAGATATAATTCACTTACCATAAAACTCACCCATTTAAAGCGTACAATTCAGTGGCTTTTAGTGTATTCACCGAGTTCGGCATCCATCACCGTAATCAATTTTAGAATGTTTTCATTACCCCAAAAAGAACCCTCATACCCCTTGACCATCCCACTCTAATTTCTCCATCCCCCAGTCCTAGGCAACCAGGAATCTCCTTTCCGTGTCATGGATTTGCCTACGCTGGACATTTCGTATCAATGGAAATGTATAACATGTCGTCTTTTGCGTCTGGCTTCTCTCACTCAGCTTAATGTTTCCAAGGTTTGTCCGTGTTGTAACATATATCAGTACTTTGTTCCTTTTAATTGCTGAATAGTATTTCATTGCATGGATATACCACATTTTTTTAAGCTATTCATCAGTTGATGGACATTTGAGTTGTTTCTACTTTTTGGCTATTATGACTTCTGCTGCTATGGACATTCATGTACATGTTTTTGTGCGGACGTGTGTTATTATTTCCCTCGGGTGTGTAGCCCAGGAGCGGACTTGTTGGATCATATGGTAACTCGACATTGAACTGATTGAGGATAAGGTAGGAATTTTTGTCTCCACTTTAGCACTGGGGAAACTGAGGCTCAGAGAAGTTAAAAGAGCCACCCAAGATCCGAGAACACAGCAGGTTTAAACTCAGGCCATCCAACACCTCTTGCCTCTGAATATATATATAAAACAGAACAGAGGTCTCTTTTAACCATTTATTTCCCTCTTAAAATATTCATTCCTTGAGAGCAGGGCCCTTTGTCTGTTTTATCTGATATCCCCAAAATTCTAGTGCCTAGAAGAGGCTAGACACTTAGTAGGTGATCAATAAATATTGTTAAATGAAGGGGAGAACGCGTCAGTATGGAAGATGCCAAGGTGGGGGAATGAGGTTATGGGGAATTCCCGAGATTTCTGTTGGGTCCAGAGTGGCACCAGACCTGGTGCCAGCATGAATTTTTCAGACTCAGAGCTGGCTCCAGCACCCTGAAAGGGACGTGCTCTTCCCCTGCAGCCGGCCTTGAAAGGCACGCCGCCGGTAGTCTCCAGCGGCCCGACAGGTTCCTGGAATTCTGTGCCTGGGAGACAGTCTATTCATGGAAAGGCAAGGAGCTGCCTTCTGTGAGTTCATGATCTAAAAAAGGAAACTGCTGTCTGCGGGTAAGAAAAGGATTAGAAGCTCAAGGCCTCTACTTCCTTGGAAGGCATTTTCTGCCCAAGTGAGATGGCCCTGGGCCCCTGTTTGGGGAGGGCTGAGACTGGGGAGATGCGTGCCCGTGGAGGAGGAAACCTTGTCTGGGAGCCGAAACAAAGGGCTGAGAGACGGGAGGGCGTGTGGATGGAGGGCTGGCGACAGCCTTGCTCCGGCAGACACATGAAAGGGCTCAGATTCCTGGAAAAAGCCAGCCGCTCCCTCTGCTTCCAGAGATCTTGAGAAAGATACAGCAAGCCCAGGTCAGTGTGGAGAGCTATTCTCAACATGCGGAAATGGGGACGAGGGAAGAGAGCTGGCCTAGCAGGCAGGAGGGGCTGGCTGGGGCCTGACTGTGACTGGTGGCCTTGGCCAAGTCCTTGCCCCCTCTCAGCTTCCGTTTCCCTATCTGTAAAAAGTTGGGGTCCTTTCAAGCTCTGGGACTCTGTTCTGGGGCTGAATTCCCTTTCTTCCTCTCCCCGCTCCTCTCCTGTATTGGATTCACTAATGCTCGTGTTCCCATCCACGTCTGACAGGAGTCCTGGGCTCCGGTTGCTCCTGGAGTCAGTGCCTCCTCTACAGGCGTGTGGAGGCTCTCACAGAATCACCCAGCTCTCACCCTGGGTTTCTGAAGAGCCCCTTTCCCACCTCCTGGCCAATCCACTCCGACCCCAGCCCCACTCACCCAACATCTGATGTCCCATAAGAACTCACGCTCAGCCCATTCAAACCAAATCACGGTTCCCCCTAAGAGGCCCTGTCTCCCGGCTCAGGGCTCGGGGCGTGGCACCTCCACTCCCCCAAGCATGGGGGCAGGGGCAGCAAGGCCAGAGTCTGGGAGAAGTTTCATCACCTGCTACCCTTTCTGGGCCCGGTTTCTCGACAGTGAAATGAGGGGTTGCGCTGCGGTTTCTAAGGCAGCTGAGAGGCCTGAGAGCTCTGATTTTACTCTCAAATCTGCCACTAGCCTGCGGAGTGAGCCTGGCCGAATCATTCCTCTGTGTGGCCTCAGTTTCCCCATCAGTAACTGAGATGGTGGGACCAGAGGAGTTTTAGACCGGGGGAAGTGGGAAAAGCACTGACACTGGAGGCAGGAGACCTGGCTTCACTTACTTGTCAGTTCACCCTGCGGCCCTGGGCCAGCGCCTTCCCGGGCAGGCCACCACTTCCCCCTCCAGGTCGGATGGGAGGGTGGGCCCATCTGCTCTGCCAGGGCCCCTCCCCTTGACCCTGACGCTCTGGGACTAGGTCCCTTAGGCCGTTGAGCTAACAACTCCAGGATGTGTTTGTCTCCTCTCATCACTCTGGAAGCTTCCAGATTGTTCTTTGGAACAATTGAAGGCCCCTTAATCACTGTGGCTCCCCAGGCAACTGGAGAAAACTTGGCCAGCAGGAGCTTATATTCCATTATTTTAAACAGAAAAATTTATATTGTGTTCACAGCCCACCTAAAGAGCCCAGCCAATTTTCCGAATAACCCTAAAATACTCTTAAACATCTATTGAACAAACCACTAAGGATTTCTACATAATGTGAAGGATTGACCTCAGTGGATGTTAGTGACGCACAATGGGACTACAGTGTTGGACACACATTCTAGCGTCTGCCAGTGAAGAGGTACTGTAGTGTAAATTACAATAAAACGGTATGTTAAATATGCATCAAGCACAAGAACCACTTAGCATAATAAAATAAATAAGTAAGCCAATTGGAATAGTCGCACTAATCCATAGGAGAGTTGCCTGGGCGAGGTGCAGGGCACGGAGGGGATGGTGGCTCCCAGGTGGGAGTGAGGTTGCCTGAGGTGGGTCTGTGTCCACGTTCCAGGAACCGGTGGACGCCTCCTCTTCCCGACACTTCAGACTCAGGCAGCACGTGGCAGTGACCCAGTGCTGAAGCGGAGATGAATCGTTGGGATGGAATAAACCAAAGTAGCTGTCTGCTTGCTTTTCCTATGCTGACAGTCCTTCAGCTCTGGGCTCCAGGCTCTGCTCAGTGCACCGTCAGTGTGATCCATCTGCTCGAGTCACAACCATGCTCACCTGGTCACCGTCGGTGTGCCTGCCTGGCACGGGCATGGGGGATGACGGGCACATCGTCATGGTCCAGCTCGTTCCCTTCAAGTGCCCCCTCGTCCCGCCCGACTTCTGCTCCTCCCACTGAAGGAGGGCCTTTCGAGGCCACTTAAGCTCGCCCACTTCCATCACAGGTTTTCCAATTTCCTAGAAGGTATTTTCACTTAACACGTGAGGAAGATGCCAGCAATAATGCGTTTGAACAATGCAATAAAAGGGTGTGACCAATGGAGAACAGACTGAAACAGGACTTTGGGGCCCCGCATGCTCTCACCAGGGCTCCCTCATGGCTTAAACATTCTCACTGGTGCCCGAGCTGGCTCCTCAGGTCGGGGTTCCGTCAGGGCAGTGACCTTTGGGTAACAATTCTGCAAGTCATCACACTGAGTATTCAGATAATGAGAGTTCAGATTGCAAGGGATACCCGAGCTTTATCGGTTATTTGTAATTCCCACAACTGTTCAGCAAGGAAAGTCCTTGTTATTCCTGCTTCACAGATGGGGCCTCAGAGGGCTGGAGGAACCCGAAGGCAATCAAGCCTGTTGACCCTCAGCCCCTGTTCTCCCACCACACATGTGGCCCCGCCTACACTGGGCTCTGCTTCTCCACCCCGTCCCCCAATCCCCTTTGGGCCATGTGGGGATTTTCTGTTGCCTTCAATCTCTCCTTTGGCTCTCTTCTTCGCCCCCCACTAACCCCACAGCCCTCAGTAGCCGCCCTTCTCTTCCCAGCAGGCACAGAACATTACTACCTGCCTAATCCCGTGCTACTTTGCCCCTAAAAAACAAAAGGTGGGGGAAGACATACACAGCCAAGCGAGCCCTGGCTCCCTCTTCTCCAGCCTGCAGAGGAGGGCGCTGCCCCCCGGAGAAGAAACATACAGCCCAGCCCCAACCCCGCAGTCCCTGGGCAGAGGTCTGTGACCCCCACCCCTCGGTGACCAGGTGTCCTCTGACCTCGCTGGACGGAGCAGAGGATGCTTTGGTCCTCTCTGCTCTGTCCTAGACAACCTGCTTCACGCCACGCCTTCGGTTACTACTTCTAAGTGGATAAGTCTCCACGTGCAGCCTAGAAGCTCTCTCCTGAACCTCAGGCCCCTCCCTGGATTCCCAACCCCACAGGGCTGCGACCTCAGCATCCTCTTCAGGTTTCAGTGCCCATCCGGTCCCTTCTCCTCCTTCACTCTGCACATCTCATCGATGACCAAGTCTGCTGACTCTGCCTTGAAAACGTCTTTCACAGCCATCCCTCTCTCTGTGCTGAGACCCCCAGCTCTGCTCTAGGCTCTCCTGGAGACCACCGCAACAGCTTCCCTCCTGGTCCTGCCTCCTCGGTCCAGTTCACCCCTTCATGGCAGCCAGAGTATCTACTCTAAACTCTGCTCTGATCGTGCCATCCCCCTCTGCTTAAGATCGTTTAGTTCATCAGAAACCCCAAATGTGATTAAATTAGGCAAGAATCAATTTACTGTTAGGACGCTGGACGAGCTCAACTAATTGTGGAAAGGGCAGGAATGGAGACCAGGCCACCTCCACTCAAATTCCACTGGGATTCTCAGCTGAGGCTCTGTATTTCTGCTTTCCTGATATCCTGATTTCATTCTCTCCTAATTCGCATCAGTTTCCCCCATGGGATGGCAACATGGCACCTGCCATTCCCAAGCCTTATCTTCTCTCTGTCACCACCAGCACCATCTGCCACTTTGCCTCTAGGTTTAAAAAAACCCCAGGGACACTCACTTGAATGAGGTGCCCACCCCTGGACCAACCAACTGTGGCCAGGCAGTGGGGCCGTGCAGCAAGGGAACGACCACGTCGGGCCCATCCCTGCGTATCAGGGCCTTCCTCGAGCTGAGGGAGACTCAGAGAGGTAGGCAGCCGCCCTGATTGGTGGTGTCTGCTGCAAACGGTTCTCACTCAGGTTAGTGTTCATCTTACTTTAAGTCGGGGATCACATGCCCCTTTGAGAATTTGATCAAAGGCATAGATCTCCCTAGAAAAATAAACATCCTTACAAAATTTGCATACCATGTCAGGAGATTTGTAGACCTTCTGAAGTCCAGTCTATGGACCTTAAGTTAGGAACACCTGCCTTGAAATAAAAGTCCTTTGCCCAGTGTCCAAGGCCTGGCACGATCTGGCTGCACCTCTCTGCGCGGCCCCCGGCCTGGGCACCTAGCCCGCAGCCACGCCCAACTCCTCACACGTGCGGGGCGCTTCACGGTTCAGTCCGTGCTTCCCCAGCCCCACGCCACGCTTTCAGTTCAACCTGCAGAACTCAGCTCGTGGGTCGCCTCCTCCGGGAAAACATCCCTGATTCCGGTCTGCCCCGGCTGAGTTTCTAGATTCAATTGCCTCTACACACCCCCAAGCATCATTACAAACAATTCCTGGTAAGGCTTGAAAAACATCTGGAAACTTTCCACATAGTAACAGAGGCACAGCGCGCCGACGTTTACGGAAAGCAGTTCTTGCCCAGCTCCCGGTAGATGTTGCTGTGTTCTGGGTGCAGCAGCGCAAATACAGCCCACCGCCTGTCTCTGTATGGCCTGGGAACTAGGAAGAGTTTTTCCATTTGTAAACAGTTGGGAAAAAACTCAAAATAATAATAATATTTTGTGACACATGAATGCTATGTGAAATTCAAAAGCAGTGTCCACAGACGAAGTTTTAGTGGACACAACCACGCTCGTTCATTTACGTGCTGTCCATGGCTGCTTTCACACTACAACAACAGAGAAGTTGTGACAGAGACCTTGTGGCCCTCAAACCCCAAATATTTACTATCTGGACCTTTACAGAAAAAGTTTGCTGGCCTCTATTCTCGATACTCTGAAGAGCTACCATATTTTATTGACAGTAAGATGCCAATGAATCACAATATCAGAAATGTTAAAATTTCAGGGGGAAATGGCTGTTTGGAACTGACTAAATAAATTGCTCTTGAATGCTTTTTATGTGCCGAACAATATGTTAGTTATTTTATGTTCATTTTCCTAATTAATGATTCCTAATTATTTATTATCCCTAACGAAACTTTTCCCAAGAGGAAAGAACTATTATGTCTATGCTATAGAAGAGGAAACAGCTCAGAGACATTAAGTAACTCGCCCCAGGCCACACAGAGGAATCAAAGCCTGACTTTTTTCCACTCCACCAAACTGCTCTCTGACTCAGTGCCTGTCCAGATCCTTGGTGCCTTCCCCCCAAGCTGGGCTTCCTCCATAATCAAGAGCAACCTGAAGGTCCTCCCGCCCACGAGGCTCTGCGAATGCTGCCTCCTCTGCTGGCACACCCCTCGCCCCCTCCTCCTTCCCTGCCCGGCCGAGGCGTCACTTCCCAAAGTGGATGGGTGCCCTCTTTGTGCTCCCAGCAGAGTGCCAGCTTCTCGCTCTTTCTCCGTGACTAGACCGTGTTCTGCAGAGATGGGAAACTTCCATCCCCGTAAGCCAGCACCTAGCACAGTGCGTCACTCAGGGCAGGCACATCCAGCACGTGGACTGTCTGAGCGAGGGAGGAACGGAGGGACGCTCACACCAAGCACAAGAGGATGAACATTTTTAAACTACACCATATGGTCCACTTGGTTCCTGGTTCTCAAAGCCAGCCTCACCCCCTCTGCCTCCCACACTTCACAGACCCTCAAGGTGAGCAGCGAACACAGCTGGCGCCAGAGGACTCGCCCAGAGAGCTCTTTTCTCCAGAAGCCACTCCACATGAATGTCATCTCCCAGCTCTGCTCCCCTGGGACCCAGCTCTGTTCTCCACCTTTTCTGTCTCTCGTCCTCCTGCCCAGCAGCGCATTACTCCCTCTCTGGTCTGACGTTACCGCCGTGATCTCGGGGGCCAATCAGAAGGATGCTGCTCAAAGCTCCCCTCCGACTCCCAGTTCTGCACTCAGAGATCCCCTCCAGAGGCCTGGGGACTCCTCCGCTGACCCTGGACTGAGCTCTGAGGATCCAGGGGCACAGGTATCTCCTGCTCACACCGCCAGCCCCTCCCCTTGGGCTCCGGGGAAGGGTTCTTCCCAGCCCCAGCCAAAGGCAGCGCCACAGCGTTTTTAAATATCACATCACAACCAAGTTCATTTTATTTCCAAAAGGCAAGTTGGTTCAACATTCAAAAATGAATCAGTGTAAATCAGGATTTCTTAACCTGGGCACTAGTGACATTTTTGGTTGGATAACTCTTTGATGTGGGGGCTGTGCTGTCATTGTAGAATATTTAACACCCAGCTTCTACTTACTAGGATACCAGCAACACACACCCCCAGCTGAGCCAATCACAAATGTCACAGACATTGTCACATGTCCTCTGGGGGGCAAAACGCAAAGTCAGTCTAGAACCACTGATATCTTAATAACAGAACAAAGGAGAAAAATCTATAAGATTATCCTGACAAAAGTAGAGAAATCATTTGATAAAATTCAATTCCAGTTCATGATTTTAAAAAAATGTTTTGCAAACTAGAATAGAAGGAAACTTACTTAACCTGATAAAAGGTATCTACTCGAAAAAACTCTACAGTAACACACTTGCTATGGATGGAATTGTGTTCCTCCAAAATTCTTATGCTGAAATCCTAACCCCCATTGTGGCTATATCTGGAGACAGGGCCTTCAGGAGGTAACTAAGGTTAAGTGAGATCATTAAGGTGGGGCCCTGGTCTGATGGAACTAGTGGCCTTTTAAGAAGAGGAAGAGACACCAGAGAGCTCTCTCTCCTGTCATGTGAAAACAGAGCAAGATGGCGGCAGCCTACAAACCAAGAGAAGAGGCCTCAGAAGGAAGCTGCCTCGCCAGCATCTTGATGTTGGACTTCCCAGCCTTCAGAACTATAAGAAACAAATTTCTGTTGTTTAAACCACCCAAGCTATGGTGTTTTGTTCTAGCAGCCACAGCTGACCGTTATAATCCTTAATGGAGAATATTGAAAGCTTTCCCCCTGAGATGAGGAAAGAGACAAGGATGTCTGCCAACACTGATTCTATTCCATTTTACTGGAGAGCCTAGCCAGGGAAATAAGTAAGGAAAAGAAATAAAATGTGTAAGGATTATACAGGAAAAAAATAAAACTCATTGTCTGCACATGATGTGCTTGTCTGTATAGCAAATCCAGAAGAATCTACAGATGAACTTAGCAAGTTCACTATACCCAAGGTCAGTAAACAAAAGTCAGCTGGTTGGGTTTTTCTATAAACCAGCAGGAAACAATTAGACAATGAAAGTAATGGAGACCATAATCACACAGCCTCTTCCCGCCCACTGGGCTACTGTGAGGGTCACGCTGGATGGTTCCAGCTGAAATAGCCTGAATATCAGTGCTTCCAGGGACAGAGGAGGCTCCCCGTGTCCTCGAGTCCTAGGGGGGAGGCTGGGCTGGCACTTGAAGGATAGGAAACAGTGAGGAACAGGAACCTACAAACTCCAGTCCTGGTCACCTCTCCCCCACCTCCCACCCTGTGACCCTGCCACACGGGCCCCTTACCTGTCCTGTCCATGTGCCTTTGCACATCTGTTCCCCTTGTCCAGGATGCCCTTCCCTTTCACTTCATCCAGGGAACTCCCGCTCACCCTTTAAGACCCAACTCAGATGTGCTCCTTTTGTGAACACTTCCCAACCTTTCCCAAGGTGTCCTCCAAGCTCTTCCACGTGGGCCCCTCATTTCAGCAAACACGTGTTTTGTGTGTCCTGGGCGGTGTGAGATTCAGATGAAGCAGACACAGTCCCCACCTATAAAGCCCCTCAGCAATCCTCCACACTCTTGCTCTTCCTTTATTGATTGACCCAGTGCAGAAGGTCCAGGGGGACTCAGAGTCCCTGGAGAATGGAAGGTCACTAGACGACAGGACCCCGGGCCCGTGAGCAACTGTGTGCAGCAGAGCCCTCCTCACACCCGGCCTGCACTGAACTGGGAGGTGAGCGAGAACTCGCGCTGGGAGAGCAGCCAGCATCACTTACTCTAACACGCCCAGTGTCTGTCCCAGCTCCCGGGTCACACAGATTAGAGCGGGAGGGCGACCCAGAGGCAGCTGAGGGCCAGGGTCCTGGGCAGGAAGATAAGGAGGACAGCGGAGAATGCCCCAGCCTGGGGGCCAAGGATGGGGCCCTTCTCTGCAGCAGAGGTGACCTGGCACTAGCTACTTCCCCACGATGCACCTCTGTTTCCTCATCGGTCGAATGAGGATGGCATCTCTGCCTTCTGTGGCTGTTCAGAGCCTCACAAGTCACCGAGGTACCGGGCTTCAGCCGTCTGCTGCTTCACAGAGGTTTGTGTCCCCTGCTCTGTATTGCGTCCCCATCAGCAGAGGGCAAAGCACGGCAGGTGGAGAAGGCACATAATAGCTGACACCCACAGAGCACTTATGTGACAGGTGCTGTTCTAAAGCACTTTACAAAATGAACTCACTTCATTCTCACAGTGGCCCATTTCAGAGACGAGGAAACTGAGCTACGGTGAAGGTAAGTCAGCCGACCAAGCCAGCGGTAGCAGGGCCGGGATGTGAACCCACACAGTGTCTCCAGGCCTGTGCTCCTAACCGCAGTGCTGCACTTCTAAGCCGGCAGAGCCTGTTGACAAGGGACAGAAAGGGCCCCTGATGCCAGGCACCTGGGAAGAGCTGCTTACAGCCCAAGCTGACGTCCAGTCTGCCCCGGCTGTGCAGACATCAAGGAAAAGCCCGGCTCACTTGGCGTCTCTTTCCTGAGAACAGAAAGCAGACCAGGCCGTCTGCACAGAGAGGAGCCCATCCCGGCACTTTATTCAAGGAGAAGTGCACGGCGAGGTCCACCGCCCAAGAGGCCCTGACTCACCCAGTGGACGATGGCTCTTGTTATGGTTCTGCAAAGGCCCAGACCTGCAGGAAACCATGTCGCTTCTGGAAGCAATCTGACCCTGCTTCCTTGTGAATTCCTAGGTTGGAGCACAGACTGCAGCCTCACTCACCACACCAGCCAACCTAATGCCGGTGTGTTAACAGGCACTGGGCAGGTGCCAGAGGGCATCTGGTTCCACCTGGGAGAGCTGAGCTCGCTGCTCTGAATTCTTGTCATCTTGGGCCGGCAGTTAGGACTCTCAGGGTCCAGCCCCAGACGGGCCACACGTTGGCCGTGAGACCTCAGGGGCATCACTTATGATCCGGGGCCCAGGGAGGACCCATCTCAGTGGGAGACTCCCCAGGCTGTGGGCGCCCGAGGGCAGCCACTGCCCCACAGTCGTCTTTGCCTCCCCAGCAGCCGGCGCGGGGCGGGGTGCAGAGTGCAAGCTCTGGACATGTTGGTTGGAAGACTCCAGCTGAGGTGGTAGGGCTGGGTTGGAGGAGCTCAGATTAAGAAAAAATACAGTGCTACTTCCATTTGTTCTTACTTCCTCCAGCAACTGTGTGAGAAAGGAATGATTATTATCCCCATTTCCCATTTTAGGAAAGCTGAGGTTCCGAGAAGTTCAGTGACTTGCCCAAGGTCACACAGCTGGTCAGCGGGCTGCACTCCTGGGCAACTGGCGGCTGCCATCCAAACTGAGTTGTTGACCGAGGACCTTTGCTTTGGTCTTGGAACGCTAGCCTGTATTTCCCAGGCTGGGGGCGGTTACAACACGGTAGAACGGGAAACACCACAGCACTCGAGTCACCTCGGAACTCGAGAAGACTAAGCCAGGGTTCCATTTGTTCAGCAACACAAGAGAATCTCAAATTTGTCACGGGGATGGAAAATGAAAAGAAAGGAAATCTATGAGCGCCACCTGGTGGTGAGCCCCACCATCACAGTCTAATTGCGGTGCTCTGACAATTGAGGACAGTCACACTGCGGTTCCCAGGCCACACGGGCCACAGGAAAAGTAGGGGCTCCAGTGACCTTCCCACGGCCGTGTCCCCAGGGCCAGGAGCCCAGTCTGACAGCCTCAGAGCATTCACACAGGGTCTTCAATGCCCCAGGGCCGAGCCCCCTGGGGCACCCTCAGACAGTCCCCCTGGGGGTCTCCACTAGGTTATCTCTGGGGCCCAGAACTCCAGAGGTGCTGTGACAGGCTCTGTGCCAGATGCTGGCTGCCTGGTGGACCCTAAAGCCTGATCCGGGGGATCCCATGTGCTGCGCTCCTGCCACTCCCTGCCACCCCCGCCCCGCCCCGATGTCCCCTCCCAGTCCCACATGCCCATCAATGGCACTCACTTCCCCCTCCTCCTTCCCAGTCCTACCCCCACGTACCACACCTAACTGTTGTGGGTTTCCCTCATTTCTCTCCCTTCCCATCACTGTTCTGTCCAAGCCACCACCGTCTCTGCCCCGGACAACTTCCAGGGCCCGCTTGCTGGCCTCCCTGCCCCCGCTCTTGACCCGGCACTTGCTTTCTGCCCTCCGGCCTGAGTGGACCTTGTAGAAGGGAAGACTGAGCAATGGGAATTTCTCTGTAGGGCCCTCCAGGGCACGTTTCCAGGTCTATGATGATGAAAGGGCAGGGGGAGGACAAACGTAGGGAGAGTGCACAAAATGACACAGTCAGGAGAGGCAGAAGTTAATATGTAAAGAAGATATTTTTGAAGGTGACCAGTGCTTGGAACCCGGAAGCCCTTTAGCCCATATCCACTAAATCCTCGCTCTTCAGAGTGCGTCTGGGGCCAGCAGCGGCGTAACCCCAGGAGCTTGTCAGAAACCCAAATACCAGCCCGGCCCGGACCCCTGAGTGGAGATCTGCGCTTCAACCCACTCCCAGGGCTTCCCGCAAGGAGGACGTTGGAGACCCAGCAGCAGAGGGCGAGGTCCCCGGAGTGCGCCCTGCCTCGGCCACCTCTGCAGCCCCCACTGCCAGCACCTGGCCTGGTGGCAGGAGCCCATCCAGTGATGCTGCTAGGCTGACCCCTGCCACCCTCGGACACGGAATGACCTTGCCTGCTGACACTGCCAGACTCAGAGAGGTCAGCTCTGCAGACCTGATCACTTTGACGGCCCCTGTGTGCCGGGCTGAAAGGCAAGCGGTGACAGCTGCAGACACACTGAGAAGCCACCAGTTTGTTTCAAAAGCTTTCTCATTAAGAAGGTAAGAATCAAAAGCACCATCATTTCTCCTTCCAGAAATCAGGAAAATGGTCTAACCCCTCTCCCCATTGCCCCGTGCCAACTCCCCCTCTTCATCCTCTGGGGTCCTTTCTCTGCTCTACTGTGGCAATGGGGGGGAGGACTCTTCAGAGTTAAATGTGTTCAAAGTTCTTAATGACAATTCTCTTTAAAGTCAGGAGATTGTGGCAGTTGAATGAGGTATGGGGAGATCAGGGCGGAAGAACAGAACTGAGCTTGCTGTGTGACCCCACAGGCCACTGGCCCTCTCTGGGCCTTGGCTAACTTTACAATAAAATGAGGATAGGCAACAAGGTGGGTGGACCCCTCTCTCCCAGGGCGCCCTGATTCCGAGCAGCAGGCCGTGTTCCTTTCTGTGGCTCTAGGTCAGGTGGGGCAACGGAAGCAGCTAAAGGCATCGGAGGCAGACGGACAGGTGTGCGTTCTCGTTGGGACTCCACCACTTTCCAGCTGGGCCACCTTACCAGCTGTGGGCCTGGCCCTCTCTGCGCCTCGATTTCCTCTTCTAAGCTGGGCTTTACCAGAACCCACCTCTTTGGGCTGTGAGAAGTCTGTGTCCTTTTACTGCAGCGTCTGCTCACAGGAGCCCGGAGTTCACTTCCGTTCCCCTGCATTTCCTGAAATGAACACTAAAGGTAGCTTTGAAAACAGATCCCCAAAGGCTCTCGGGGGTTGGGAGGTGGTTCAGAGCCCAGCCGCAGACTCACGGAAGGCTGGAGTTCCACGGGATGTGACAGAGCTCCAGACGTCCCCATCGCAGCCCAGGATGGAGGTCGGCTGGTCTGCGGATTGAATGGTACGTAAAGCGGTCGTGGGCTGCAGTCTCCCTGCCTCGCCACCCAGCGGCCGCCCGCATCGAGGGGAGTCGGGCAGGGGAGAATGAGGGCGCAGAGGTCGGGGTTTGGAACCACCACATTCAGGTACCTCCCACGGCTGGATGCCTCACAGACAGCACTCACCATCACAGCCATCGCAGGACAGAGGTATCATTTCCTTGTTTACAGAAGTGGAAACTGAGGCCCCGAGGGGGGAAGGGACCTGCCCAAGGTCTCCCAGCTAGTTCAAGGTGGAGGTGGGATTGGACTCAGGTCTGACCCCAAGGCTCGGCTTCGCTGTCCTCGCAGTACGTACACTTGTCTGTCCTCTTGGCTTCCAGGAGTGGGGAGCTCCCCAGCCCCAGGTCTCAAGCCTGGGCAGCTGTGAGGAGCAAGAGGGGAAGGGCTTTACTCTGCTCCGCTGCTCCCTGGACGGCCCAGCCATCAAGGACAATGACTAGAGGGAAGATGGGGTCTATCAACCCAAAATTCACTCGTGTGAGCGTCCGCATGCACAGCATCACCACTGGGTGTTGCCCAGGCAGCCCGATGCTGCAGGAAGCCCCAGGAGGCTTCTAGATTCACTCCAAAACCTCTGCTTCCAGCCCAGACTCCTCAGCCCGGACCGATGACGCGGTCGTGGTCCCCCGTGTCTTCCTGCTGCCCGCCCCCGGGACGCTGGGGTCTGTGGCCATCCCTCCTCCACAAAGCCCTCCTCTCTCTCTGGGAAGTCTTCCTTGGACAGGACACCACCCAAGCCCGGACCTCAGGGTTTCCACCACCCGGCCCCGCCCACCTCTCGCGCACCATCAGCGCTCCTCATGCCGGACCATCGCCATAGCCATCCCGAGCCCCCTGCGGCTTCTTCCCCTCTGCCCTGATTGCAGTTTCTTTTGCCCAGACCACCCCCACCACCCGCCCGCCCTCTGCGACTTCCCCAACTATGCCCACCCCCACTCCCACCACGTCCTGTGTGCGCCTCTTGCCCCTGGGGGATGATCAATTGGAGCCATTCTCTCACCGTGTAGAGGGGGCCGGCTGGCCTTATCCACCCGGGGCCAGCCAGGCCTGGGAGTCTCTGGATGTTGGCCCACAGATGAGCGAATGAATGAACGAATGAATGAACGGTGAGGTAAGTAGGAGTGAACACCATTATTCCAACTAAAGGGGTCGATGCATGGGGGCACGAGGCAGCTAAGCGTCTGTCTCCCAGGACCCTGGCTAAAACCGGTGGTGGCCGAGCCCAGACTTCCTGGTTTAACGTCCCCTGTGCGGCGACCCGCGCCCTCCCTGCTCCTCGGAGGGAAGGGAGCCTCGCCCGGCTCGGACCTGCTGCTCCCTGCTGCCACCTTGTGGCCTCACGGGGAGAGCTTTCATTATTGTTCTCACCGTGGGCCCAATGACTTAAATTTGGGGTGAAACCAGTCTGAATAGTTTTAATTGTCGACTGAAATCAAGAGTCTGGGTGATATTAGTAAAGGGGTTTACTCATTAATCAGCGGGAGGAGTTGGATCCCCGGGAAGACAGTCCCACAGGGTGCTCCGACGGAACTCTCCAAGGGCTGCGAGCTGAAGTGCGGCTTAGCTCTCTCTCACAAACGGCGCACGCGCGGGGAAGAGGAAAAGAAAAACTCACAACTAGATTTTATATTTGCCCAAAAAGGGGGTAGAGTACATCTGGGCCTTTCTCTAGGTCATACACTGAACACTAGAATCCTTGGTTATACATCAAATGAGTTCAGAGAAGCTGAGGTTATCTACATGAGCAGGGGGCAAGGACCAGGGCTGTTAATTATTCCCTCGGTCCTTGAGAAATGCAGCTGGGGAACGTGACATTGAGGGACCTCTTTATCTGTTCCTGCTGTGGGTCTGTCCAGCTGGCGTCTTCAGTCAGGAGACGTGGGGCTGCCGGGTCGTGGGACACAGGCTGGCGGTGACCTGCGTGGTGCTTCACGGTGCAGCGTGGCTTTACTGCGCTGACTTAAAGCCCATGTAGGTTGCCTGTTAGATTTGCCTGTTAGACCAGGAGAGGGGTCCCCAAACTCGGTCCACACAATCATAGTGCATTTATCTTCCTAGCCCACTAATAAAATATATACTTAAGTGCTGAGCAGCAAGAGGCCACCAGTACACCCACAGTGAGATGTAATTCCAGCTAAAGCCACAATTCCTGATGCTTTCAATGGCTTGCGACTCCCTCCCGTGGGTAAGCGTATGATTTACACTGTGTCTTTTGGAACTTTGAGAATTACCTGTTGCAGGTGGAGGGGAGAGTGTAAGTGAACCAGCCAGGCGGTCCGGACTGGCTTCCTTTGTGCCAAAGTCCTGGGGCTGGGGGTCTGTGGAGAGCAAAACAGAGGTGGTCCTTACCCTCACGGAGCTCAGAGCTAGAGGCAGAGACACATCTTAACCAAATAATCACATAAATATGTAATCTCAAGCTGAGATAAATGCATTGAAGAAAGCATACATGGGGCCAGAAAAGCAAATAGCATGGGGGTCGTTTCTAGTGTGGGGGATCACAGGAAAGACCCCCCTGGGGAACTGACTTTTGAGCTGAGTCCTGAGGAAGGGGTAAGAATCAACAGAACAGCACTGTCATGGGCTGAATTGTGCCCCTCCCCCGAAACTGACCTGTTGACGCTCAACCCCCAACCTGACTGTATTTGGAGAAAGGGCCTTTTGGGAGGTAATTAAGGTCAAACAAGGTGAGAAGGTTGGTGCCTTAATCCAATAGGGCTGGTGTCCTTATAGGAAGAGGAAGAGACACTGGGGAGCTTTCTCTCTCCACAGGAGCACCGAGGAAAGGCTGTGTGAGAACACCGGGAGAAGGTGGCCCTCTGCAAGCCACGGAGAGAGGCCTCGCCAGAGACCAACCCTGCTGACACCTTGCTCTTGGACTTCCAGCCTCCAGAACGTGAGAAAATAAATTTCTGTTGTGCAGCCCCCCAGACTGTGGTGTTTTGTTACAGTAGCCAGAGCAGACTAATACAAGTCCGTGCAAAGGTCCTGAGGTGGCAGGAGTCTGATCCATTAGAGATAGTGAAAGAAGATCAGTGTGGCTGGAGCACCCAGAGAAAGGGGAGGGAGGAGCAAGTTGAGTCTAGTAAGGTGCGGGGGACGGGATGTCATCTGCAGGCCAGTAGGCCAGATCTGACTAGGAGCCATGGGAGACTCATGAAGAGCTTCAGGCAGAGGGCTGGCATCAGA